TAAATTTTGCAACCTTATTTTCGCGAGATACTCATTGACTCTTGATTAGCGAGACAAAATTTTCGTGATTTGTGGTTATTGCTCTATATATTCTTATGGAATACTATTATACGCGAGAATTAAATTTTCGCGAACACACTGTCTCGCGTAATTACGCGAAAATAAAGTTCTCGCGAATAAAAAGTGATTTACAGTACAACAATTGAATACGGGCGGGGGAAATTATTCAAACAACATATAGTAGGGACTTTATTAGTAACTTATCATTAACTTACAATATATATTGTCACTATGAACTTTTAAATGTTCCGTAGTGTTAAGCATTGTAATCCTCCTATTCGATGTGCACACCATAACACATGGAGTTAGAGAGACGAGTTATAGCATTAATCCCCGTAAACTTTAGAACATAAATAATGATAAAGAACAAGTGTTATAACTAAATCGATGATTTATCATATTAGTGGCAAATATGCAGGTAAATTAATCATGCATACATCTTGATTTGAATTATTTTGGTAGAATATACGCATATGGGACCTATTCCCGCTTTACATTCAATGGCTTTTGAGGCAGTACTTCTTTACGGTTTTATAGATGCTTAAAATCCGTCTACATTCTTTGTTAACAGCAGTGTATCATGTGTAGAGTGCAGAGAGAAGGGTTTATTTACTTCAGCATATCTGGATTTACGCGACTCTAAATATAGATTTTTTCAGTGCTGTTTCCTGTGACGCGATAAAATGGTTGGTTTTTTAGGGCGCTTGCGCCCGTTAACCAATGTCAGGGTACCAGTCTATTATAATAACGTTGTAACAGACTTTTTATGGCAACAGAAAGGTATAGTTTTTGTTTTATTCATAACGAGTATAACAAAAATATTCATGCTTTATGGGTAACATCTAAAAATATTATTGTATTACTGTAGACAGTATATTATTATGATAATATTATAGTGTTTACTCCTTCTTTTATGTTAGTACATTGTATCTCTTTATTGAAATTGTCGACAACACAATGCATTCAATGTAAACACGATATCATGAATACATCGTCTACAACGTTTCATTCATTATGTTGACATCGTCGACATCGCGATGATGTCAATGTTTATGCGATATCGAGTTTATATCGATTTAGTGTTTGCAAAGTTTACATTAAGTTAAGTATTTCTTATTAGCTCACCTGAGCTGAAAGCTCAAGCGAGCTTTTCTTATCACCCATTGTTCGTTGTCCGTCCGTCTGTCTGTCTAGCTGTCTGTCTGTCCGTCCGTCCGTCTGTTAACTTTTCACATTTTCAACTTCTCAAAAACCACTGGGCCAATTTTAAGTAAACTTGGTACAAAGCATCCCTGGGTGAAGGAGAATTTAAATTGTTAAAATAAAGGACCAGGCCCCCTTCCAATGGGAGATAATCCAGAAAATACAAAAATAAGAAAAAATCTTCTTCTCAAGAACCACTGGGCCAAAAATAATAAAATAATAAAAATCATGACCTCCGGGGGTAGGGAGGGGCCACAATAGGTAATCCAAGTTTTACATAGAAATATATAGGAACAATCTTTAAAAATCCTCTTTACAAGAACCAGTGGACCACTTAATAAAAGTAGAAACTTATGTGGAAGCATCCTGGGGTAGTGCAGATTTTAAATTGTAAAAATCACGACCCTCGGAGGTAGGGAGGGGCCACAGTAGGGAATCCAAGTTTTACATAGAAATATATAAGGATAATCTTTAAAAATCTTCTTCTCAAGAACCAGTGGGCCAGGAAAGCTGAAACTTATGTGGAAGCATCCTGGGGTAGTGTAGATTCTAAATTATAAAAATCTTGACCCCCGAGGGAAGGGAGAGGCCACAATAGGGAATCCAAGTTTAATACAGGAATATATAGATAAAAATCTTTAAAAATCTTCTTCTCAAGAACCAGTGGGTCAGGAAAGCTGAAACTTATGTGGAAGCATTCAGGGGTAGTGTACATTCTAAATTGTAAAATTCTTGACCCTGGGTAGGGAGGGGCCACATTAGGGAGTCATAATTTTATATAGAAAGATATTGGAAAAATCTTCTTCTCAAGCACCAGTGGGCCAGGAAAGCTGAAGCTTATGTGGAAGCATCCTGGGGTAGTGTAGATTCTAAATTATTAAAATTATGACGGGGGTGGGGGGGGGAAGAGGGTTACAATAGATATATGAAAAGGGGAAATCTGGTAAGGAACTGCATCACCAAAGTTACTCAGGTAAGCAATGTGGCCCATGGGCCTCTTGTTTTCTATATTGACATTGTCAACAACATAAGTTTGATAACGTTAATACCATGTCATGGTTACATTGTCTTCATAGTTTTCTTTTACGATGTTGACATCGTCGACATCGCATTATTGACAATGTTGATGCGATTACACCGTTGCGATAACGACTATGTAAATGATGTTAACAAAAATGGGTTCAATTTACAGAGCTCCAGATAAGGTGCGTATTTGCAGAAATACGCATTAAATTTTACAAAATACGCATTGAAAATTAAAATAGAGCGTACAATTACGCATTAGCAATCATAGATACGCATTACACTACGAAAGTACTGCGTACAACAAGTTGAAGAATACAGGTACGACTTACTTAATGATACTTAGTGACCAGGAATATTCTAGTAATGACGACGACGATCTCTTTTTCGGGAGGAAGAATCGGAGATTTAGATTAAAATCAATTTCTATGTAGAAAGACTATGCACTAGGCATCTTTTTTTTATTATGGGTACATAGCCAATTTTTCATCTCTCTCAACTTGCCATATTAATGAAGATTCTCTGAGTAAAATCAATGTTGACACGATGTTGACGAGATATCGTCCAACTTTGCAACTTCGACAATGTAAACGATGTGAAAAAGAAAACCGAATCCAGCTTTGAAACAATATCTTCTCGATATCGTTCAACATTGCGATGTCGACGAAATACTAGTAAACAAGAATACGGAATGCAACATTGTAAGGATATCGACTCGATATCGTCAAAAAGTTCGATGTCGACGATGTTAATGATGTAAACAAGAAAATAGAGTACAGTGTATCACGGATGGACGAACAGACAGACACTGGGTAAAGAGATCATCAATTGTCGCTATGCTCTTCAGGTGACACAAAAAGTAAAAACACTGATGCAGTATTCATATTAATTATAGAATTCTTATTTACAGGTATGAAAAACAAATGACCATCTAAAGTGCGAAAATGGCGACCAGTACAATCCAGGACCAGGAGATTCTCCTCTGTCACATCTGTGATAAGAGCCCGCTCAAGCTTCACTGTAATCCCTCCAAACAGATTTATGTGAAAATTGTGTGGGAAAACACACCATGATGTGCATCATCTGCCGCTCATGAAATCATCAAGTACCAAGACTGAAACTTCCAGCTTCTTTATCCAAATTGCAAAGCTCACAATGATGAAAAATGTTCTTTCAAATGTCAAAACTGTGATAAAGAAATATGTATCAAATGCCTTACTGGCAAACATAATGGTCATAAAGTCTTTGAAATAAGTGTTACAGTTGATGAAAAGAAACGTCTTGTTGAAGAAAACACATCTTATCTTCAAGATGTCATTCCAAAATTCAAGGAAGTGGACGAAGAAATTGAAGGCAAAATGGTGGCCTTCAACACCAGATGTGATGAATTAGAGGAATTGGTATTAAAGCATGGAATAGAATGGCATTGCGTCATTAACAATGTCATGATTAAAAAGAAGCATGCGAATAAGAAAAAAGACGGAACAAATGAGCTAAGAAAATACAAAATGGAAATGAGGGATGTTTTCGTAGATGTGCAAGACACCATCCAGCGAAACAAAGAAATTGTCAAATCTGTAGATGTCATTGAAATCTGCCGTTATCATCTGGTGTCTGATAAATACCAGAATATTCCACTGCACTTTCAATTAAAGCTTCCAACTTTTGTTTTCAAAGAAATTGAATCAGATCAACTGAACCGAGCGTTTGGGGTATTAAAGCGATTTCATGTTCAACGAGGAATGGTTGATCGGCCTTCTGATACACCTTTATCGCGTATTCAAATGTTTCTAAGAAAAGCTTTAAAAATTAGAGAATTTTCTACCGGAAAAACACCACTGAGGCAAGTGGTTTGTGTTGGTTCAGAAGAGGCGTGGATAAGCGGATATGATGAAACCATTTCACGTGTTAACATACAAGGCTCTGTACTAGATGAAGTCATCACCACTTGCAATGATTTCCCAAGTGACATTACAGTGTCAAAAAGACGTCTGATTTACACCGATACAGCAAATAAAGTAGTTAATATAGTGGAGGAGGGAGAGTCTATCACATTGATCCGGGCACCACGGGGATGGGAGCCTCTAGGGGTGTCTTACACAAAATCAGGTGATTTACTCGTTAGCATGAGAACAACTGACCAGACACTCTGCAAAATTGTTCGCTACAAGGATAAGATGATAACTCAAGAAATAGAAAAGGACGACAAAGGAAATCCTTTATATAGAGGAGGATCGAAAATGCTTTTCGTGGCTGAGGACGATAACGGAGACATATGTGCCTCGGATTGCAATGCAAATGCTTTCATCGTTGTCAACAGTGCTGGAAAACTTCTTTGCCGATATACTGAACGACAAATGAAATGCAATCCTTGTGGTATTATCATGTATGTTGTTTATCGGATTCTTCAAAACTCTTCGGAAAAAAGTTCTTATTTGAATGATCAGTACGGTCGTCGTAGGTTCTGTTCGACTGGGTGATTCTGGGCCACACAGTGTGGACAGAAGTGGAAGGCTTTGGTTGGGAGAATCACGCAGTGGAAATGTGATAGTCGTCAGCGATGAAAAACAGCTAGTACCATACTGCTGGGTGCTTATCATACTCATTGTAGTTTTTCTAAAGTTTACATAGATGTTTGAACTACTGATGACAATGGTAAACCGATTAATTTGTCGGTAATATTATAGCCGATTATAATTACAAAAACAAGTTTATAGATAATTTTCCAGAAATGTTCCTCTAAAATAGGTTTTTAATTTAAACTCTTAGGAAGCATGTTTCATATTGAATTCTTACAATTAACTGTTGAAATTCACAAAACAAACCACCGTCTGCAGAGGAGATAATTCAACATTTTAATAAACTTGACAAAAAAAATCACAATTTGAGAAAAAGGGCAGCTGTTTCCAGCACCTTGAGCAAAAGTGTATAAACTATAGTAAAGTCTGAAGTTTACCAGAGAAAAAATGAAAATGAAATTTATTGGTATAGGAAATTGAAGATAAAATACAGTGCATTTAAATGCATGAAAATTCAACTGGTAATTTCACTGTGAAACTGTACAATTTGAGTCGTAAAGGAAAGGATCTTAACAATCGACATATTGAACGTCTAGCCCGGACATTGAGACTGATTTAAATGAAATTGCTAAATCACCAAAAGAAAACTTTAAAGAGAAGATAAAGCATTTTTCAATGAGAAACACTTAATACAAAACGTAGAGTTAAGAATCGAATGTCTTAGGATGGCAGTCCTATCAGATTATTAGAAGAAAATAAAGAAAATTGAATTTCACATAAAATCAATTAAAAGGAAAAAAAAATTACTGCTTTGAAGAATCTCCAAAAAAATAATATTAATGAAATAAAACGAGAGAAAAGTGCACAACTTATATATTAAAAACTTAATATTGAAGGGGAGCTTTTCACACTTGTATCTAGCAAACCAGATGAGATAGAACATTATGATTACCCAAAGTCAGACTTGTCACTTCTATGATGTATGGATTTAGGATAATTAACAGGGGTCTGGCCTCGTTCCGAGGGCGGGAAATGCCAAAGAAAATTCAGACAGAGGCCCACGGGCCTTACAGGTCACTTGAGTATTGTGCAACAACTTTCAAGCAATTACATCTGGTTCGTGATTAAATCCTGAGGCCATGGAATTCGCAATTCACAATTTTGAAAGAGGCACCATTGCTTATCATAATTATAGACTTCGCATGCTTACTCTATTTACTTAATACCGGAGGTAGATCAGAGTAATGAAGAGAAAATGCACTTCAACTTTATAACCAGTTGTGCACCTAATCCCAAAGGAACCACTGACCCTAGAGCCAAATATTTCAAAAATTTTCAAATTTTATCATAAAATGGTTGATTAATACCAAAGAGCAGATTTCAAAGCATCAATTTATTTCAGACTATGTATCCCCCACCTCGACCCAGGGATGGAGGGGGGGGGGGGATGAGAAATAAACATTTTTCTAGATGCACTTTTCTTCATCATAAATGTATATACTTGGATCATTAGCATAAAACCCAGGAGCAAAGGAAAGATTTTCAAAGGATTCATGTATTTTCACTATATAATCCATAGAGCCCCGTCCTAACACCAGAACCCATGATCCCGGGGCCATAAAATTCACAATTTCGAAGAGGCACTATTGCTTATCATAACTATATACTAAATTTGTTTATTTAATACCCAGGAGCAGAGATGATTTTCAAAGAATTAATGCATTTTCACTAATTGATCAATAGAGCCCCACTCTAACACCAGAACCCTTGATCTTGGGGCCCTAAAATTCACAATTTTGGAAAAGGCAGCCTTATTCAACATAACTATATAATTACATAGTTTATTTAATACCCAGAAGCAGAGAGGAAAATTTTCAAAGAACTAAGGCATCTTCACTATTTGATCAATATGAGGCCCCCGCCCTAACACCAGAACCCCTGACCCTGGGGCCATAAAATTCACAATTTTGGTAGAGGCACTCTTGCTTATTTTAACTATATACTTACTTTATTTAATACCTAGGAGCAGAGAAGAAGATTTTCAAAGAATTCATGTATTTTCACTATATAATCAATAGAGCCCCGCCCTAAAACTAGAATCCGTGACCTTGGGGCCATAAAACTCACAATTTTGGCAGAGGCACTCTTGCTCATCATAACTATATACTTAGTTAGTTTATTTAATACCTAGAAGCAGAGAAGAAAATTTTTAAAGAATTTGTGTATTTTCACTACATAATCGATGAAGCCCCACCCTGACACCTGAACCCCTGACCTTTGGGCTATAAATTCACAATTTTGGTAGAGGCACTCTTGCTTATCTAACTATGTACTAAGTTAGTTTATTTAATACCTAGGAGAAGATTTCATTTTCACTACCTTTCTTATTTTGGTCCCACCCTCAGGCCGGGGGGGGGGGGCGGGGATTGCATAGAAATTCACAATTTTTGTTCCCCTTCACCCATAAATGCTTTGTGCCAAATTTGGTTGAAATTGATTGAGTGGTTGCAGAGAAGAAGCTCAAAATGTTCAAATGTAAACGAACGAAGAACGACGCACGACGACGGACGAAAACGGATTACAATAGGTCACCTGAGTTTACTCAGGTGACCAAAAAAAGCCGGGGGACAGGAGAAAACCATGGGGAGT